GAGGGCCGGGGCGGGGCGGGAGGAGGCCCGGGGGCGGCTGGGGTGTCACCACCAACCCGCTCCGGCCGGAAACTGGCGCTTGTTTCCGGCCGGACGGCCGAAAGCCGCCCATCCTGAACCATCTGCCTGAGTCGGAGTCGGAGTGGCGACCGAGTGTGGAGCGGGCGAAAAGCCACTGGGGCGGGCCAGTCCCGATCAGTCCCGTCTGGCTCCAGCTCGTGCTCCTGTGCGGGGCAACGGCCGCGGTCGCCATCTCCGCCGCTGCCTCCGCCTCCATCGGCGTCGGGGGAGGGGCCGGCCGGACCCCGGGGTCACTGCTGAGGAATGAAGAGTGGCGGCCGGGCCCCGCGCTCCGCCCCGGCCTAGGGCCTAGCCCCGGAGCCGCCAGGGTAACGGCGCCCCGCGCCCCGACGCCCTCCCCTGTCTGCTCCCGCCCCTCCTGCCTCTCGGGCTGCCCAGACTTTGACCCTCCGGTCTCCGCCGCGTCCCTTCCCCTTTCGGACTCTGTGCCGCCCGGAGCCGTCTGCCCCGGCCGCCCTCCTCCCTTTGCGCCCTGGCTCCTCCTGGTTCTCCCTCCCCTTCCCCTTCACGCCTCCTCCTTTCGCCGGCGCCCCGGGCGCCCCCGGCTCCCTCCCCGCGCCGTGCGGGGCCGCTCGGACGGGCCCGTCCGGCCGACCTCGGGGAGGGACGGTGGGGTGTCACGGGGGAAGGCGCCCCGCGGTGAGGAGTGCAGGCTCCTCGGCACGTAGAGGACGAAGTTCGCTTTAAAGTCTCCTCCTGACAGGCAAACTGACGCCCAGTCTGGAGGAGGAGGGCGACGAAGGGGGTGTGTGAGTGACTGCAGGGCAGGCTGTGAACTTCAGAGAAAAGGAGCGTTGCCGGGCGCCGAGGGCAACTTAGAGGCTGAGCAGGAGTCAGCGTAGTGACTCGGTTAACGGTGTGGCCGGTCGGGACGGAATGGGATCTGTTTACTGGGCCCGCGTATTTTTAGCCCGTCGGCTCCCAAGGACCAGCCTCTCTCTCCCTCTCCCTCGGCACGGTCCAGATAGAAAAATTAAGTCCGAAGAAGCTGGCTGATGAGTTATGTAAGAGGTTTCCCTTGAGCTCTTCAGCGAGTTTTCGTGAAGGTAAAGTCGAGAATTAGCAGGACTTTGACTTTATCTTTTCCTAAGTATGTACAGAAGATACTTTATTTAGAAAGTCGGAAGCTGGCAGTGTTTTCAGTCTTTGGCTTCTCTCTGCGTATTTCGGAGCTCTTTGAGGAGGCTGGATCTCTGAGAACCCATTCCAGAGGTGGGAAAGGACAAAGTAGCGAGGTGGTGCTCGTAGGCCTAGTCCGAAAGGGTAGCTAATCCTTCCGTTCTTTAAAAACGTTCCGATACTATATAACTTTTAAAAACACAAAATTTTCCTTCCTAGAAAATGAGGTTGCCTTCCTGGTGGGGCGGACGGTAGAAGACGGCAGGGACTTAGGCTAGGTGGTTAGGGAGAATCACACTGTAGTTAAATACTCGCTGTGCATAATTTACCAAGGAATACATTATAAGCAAACAATGAAGAATTAATTATACTCCTTGTCCTCATTGTTTTTCAAGCAGTTCTTTTAAAGTTTGGTAAGCAGCCTGCTGTGCTGTTGTGTTGGTATTTTGAAGGCTGAACAGAAGATAAATGAAATGGATGTTGATCATCTGCAGGCTGGTGTTCATTCTCTTCTCCTTTCCAGTAGCTACCCAGCATGCCTCAGAGCACCTCCCCTGGTCAGTGGCCGTTACTGTGTACTTACAGATTGCAAACGAATGCAAATATTAACTCATCCTAGGAATAACTGAGAGGGTAAGTTTGCTGAAAACTTAGATTCCAAAACAGAAATAGATTATTTGTCGATTTTCCCCCATTTTGGATTATCAGCACCTTTCTGCCGATAATTATCCATTAACATGAATAATTTATAATTGAACAGATACCCACTTTGGACATTCCGCATTCAAGCAGGAAGGAAACATGGAAAGAAGATAGTTCCCAAACTGTTACTTTTTTGTGGGCCTGATTTGACTTATCCTTTTTCATTTAATGCCGAAGACTGGGAGTGGGGGGGTAGGGGTTGGGGATGTAAACTTTTGCCAAAGAAAGGGCTGTCTACTGACTCCTATGAGGCAGGATGACCAGTGATGAATGCTGATTTTTAGTTGGACTCTGGGTGGAGTTATGTCACCAACAACGTGGAAATACTCCTGAAGCTTTATTTTCTTTATGTCTTTCCTTTGACACCCCTATTGAAAAAAAGATTGAATTTGGAGAGTGAAATGTAATTTCGAAAAATTGCACACATCCTCTCAGAGTCCTGCCGCAGTCTGGTAACTATCAGTAATTGCTTTAATTTGTGTGAGTTGGTTGGTGGCAGTATTATTGATGGTATCTGGGTAAATTCTGTTTATATCAGTATCTAGCAACTTCCTCTAGTTGAACTGCATATATTATTCCGGGGGCAGGGCTTGAATAAATTTAGGAATAAGTGTAGTGGAGGCCCAATAGCCCACCACTGTTCCCAGTTCTAAGGAGCCCCAGTGGCACAGTGGTTATGCACTCAGCTGCTAACTGAAAGGTCAGTGGTTCAAACCTATTAGCTGCTCTGCAGGAGAAAGATGTGGCAATCTGCTTCAGTAAAGATTACAGCCTTGGAATCCCCATGGGCAATTCTACTCTGTTCTTTAGGGTCACTATGAGTCGGAATCAAGTTGACACAGTGGGTTTGGTTTTTGGTTATTCCCAGTTCTCAGAAGGCTTTGTTTGGAATTTTGAGAGTCAGTATATGTTTCAGTAACCAAATTAATTATGATGGAATAACTCAGTATTACAAATAAGTTTGCGATTGTTATGGGGGCACTGAGTGCCACTTGTTAAAGTTTTGGAACTGCTGAATATCTCAAGCGTGCTCAGAGGTCACTCCCCCCAGACACTTATCCCACCAAGGGGAAAACCTGAAACAATCCTCTGAAATGTGACCTCAGCAGTGGCTTTCCTATGGAAACCTGCAAGCTGTGGAGGAGCAGATTGGCATCTTCCCACCAGCCCCTGAGAAAGTCAAAGAGTTAAAACTCTGTAGAACTGGAATGTGGATGCAAGGCAGCTTTATCACGAATGCCTGAATTTAATAGATTTTTAATATAAGAAAGGAGTTTTTTTTTTAAATAAGAAATCTTTGCTGAATAATGATTGAACACTTCTGTGGACAAAGCAGCCTCCAGGCTCCAGTGACAGGCTTTGGGGAGATACAAAAGATGTAAAGACAGGTGTCCTTGCCCTTGGGAGGCGGTGGGTATGCAATATGAATGACAAGGCAGACTATTAGAAGCTTTATTTAAGAAACAACATGTAAACAGAACCAAGTTTAGTGTGTTACAAATGCAGTATGTAAGGGCTGAAAAAACTTGGAAGTAACAAAGTATGAACCAGTGAGATAAATTACGGAAGATTTCTGACCCAGTACATTTTACTGTGGGTCTGGGAGGCTCTGGATTAGAGTCATAAAGGGCTGTGGAGGGCTGTGGAGTTGGATGAACTTTGGTTCAAGTACTGTTTCTACCTTTTACTACATGACGTTGGACAAGTTCTTTTTTTAAGCTTATGTATAAAATAAGTATGAGCATTCAAGTAAAGGAAAGAACGTAGGGCACACTGTAGTTATTCTGTAAGCGTTGCAGTAGAAGGACAGCACCTTCTAGGCAGAAAGCATAGAACGTATAGTGATGGTATGAATGACTAAGTTGTGTTTGTGGAGGATACATGAGAGAGGCTGGAGGAACATGGGTTGGTCAAGCCGTGGGTAGAGCAGGCGAGAGTTGTGGTTGGTGGAGAGGACTCAGAGGCCAGACTCTGCTGGGTGCTGATAAAAGGGTCAGTGGAGTCATTGTAGGTCCTTGAACAAAGGATGGATTTAATGAAAGTATTGAGCGCTCTGGTCCAGGAACTCAGGGACAAGGAGTCAAGCAGGCACCAGTACATGGTGACTCTTCTGGACCATCCCAGCCTAAAGGGAGACATCCAGGAGCCATGAGATTCCTCATGTAAGTGTTTGAGTTCAAGCAGCCTTCCTCACTGTGCTGAACTCTGCTTGTGCCCGTCTCGCAGGGCATCAGCCTGTGGGGAAGTCTCAGGACTATGACTGCACTCTCCGCAGGCGCTTGTGGTAAGGACAGCATCATGTTCCCAGTGCGTGTAACTCGCGATTATCTGCTGATGTAGGGGGCACTGGTATAGGTCATTCAGAACTCAGTACAGGAATTTCTTGGGTTGAAAAGCATTTTTTCTTTAACCAGATTTAAGTTAGTTGTATGTGTGTGTGTTTATCATGCTAATGTTGAAATGGATTTGCATTTCTAAGCCTGTATTACCTGGTTGGCATAGGACAGTCAAAGCTGGATTAAGAATTTCACCCCAGAAATCTATAAAATGAATGATCTATTTCTGAATAATTAAGACTGGGCTCTCCTGAATATGTGAATGATGACCAGTTTCTTTTTGAAATCTGTGAGGGTCCACTGTAGCCTCCTGGGCTGTCTGCCTCAGGCCTGAGAGCTATTGGTGGGTAATGCCTGTGCTGCAACCAGAGTGAGTTTTCACTCACGGTATCGGGAGGAATCCACTGCACTGTGTTGAAGATTAAGCTGGATTTCTCAGAGAACTTGAGCTTTGTAAAGGCTCTCCCAGAGGCTCCCCAGAAAGTGTCAGATGTTTTCCTTCTGAAGGAAACTTGTCTTCAAATATGACCAACTTAGAAAAAAAAAAGGAATGAGGAGAAGTGTCCACGTTTAAAAAGTAAACAAAATCACACAGCTGTTCTTTCATCCTTGTTCTTAAAGTGGACATACCACACCGGAGCTTTTGCTTTCCTTCATCCCTGCCCCCGACTCCCACCTCCTCATAATCATTACCAAAGCTATGCGCTTGTGATGTCACGAGCACAGGGTCATTACTTACCTCTTGCCTCAGGAGACTGCAGGATTTCTGAGCTGGAAACCAGAGGTGGAAAAGTGAGAAGTCTTATTTCAGACAGCCATTTCTGGATTATTTTCAACTGTATTTTTTAGAATTATGTCTCTTTTATTTCCTCCAAGAAATAGTTTTGGATAGGAGAAATTACTAAACTATTATTTTTAGTGACCCACTATGCGAGGTGCTGTGGAGGATTAGGAAAAACGACAACTTTGTGTCATTGAAGAGCTTACCGTTCACTTGGGAGCGAGAGGACTGGGGGAACAAACACTCACTGAGCCTCTAGTATCATGCGAGACAAAAAAATATGGAAGGATCTTATCAGTTGCGTAGTACAGACTCCATACCGTTGGGGTTTTGGGAGAAGAATACGTAGTTATGAGTGACGTCAGAGAGAAATTATAGCTTACTCAGATCTTAAAGAGTGAATACATTTTTATTGGTACAAGGGAGACGGGTTGGCACGTCAGATGAAGAAAATAATCCCCCCAAAATTTCATTTTTGAGCTGAGAGGGATCAGGGAAAAGCCTGGAAACAGGAATGTACCCAGGGTGTACTTGGGTCAGTGATGAGACTGACCTGAATGACAGAGTCAGGGAAATGCAGGTGGGTAGGGAGGTTTGGAGCTGTGCTTATGTTGTTGGTTGCCACCGAGTCAGTGGCATGGCGACCTTATATAACAGAACAAAACGTTCCTTGGTCCTGTGCCAGCTTCATGACCATCGGTAGGTTGGAGTCCATTGTTGTGGCTCTTGTGGCAGCCATCTCGCTGAAGGTTGCCCTTGTTTTCGTTGGCCCTCTGCTTCACCAAACATGATGTCCTTTTCTAGCGATCGATTTTTCCTGCTGATGTTTCCAGTGTCAACGAGCTGGAGTCTTGCCATCCTCTTTAAGGAGCATTCTGGTTGTTTATAACCCCAAAAAACCCATTGTTGTTGAGTCGATTCCAACTCATAATGACCCTATAGGACAACGTAGAACTGCCCCATAGGATTCCCAAGGCCGTAATCTTTACGGAAGCAGGCTGCCACATCTTTCTCCTGTGGAGCAGCTGGTAGGTTCAAACTGCTGACCTTTTGGTTAACTGCTGTGCCACCAGGGCTCCTTCTGGTCATTCATAGAGGGTCTTAAAAGCCAGGTTTGTATACGTTTAGATTTTTAAATAATAGAAAATAGGGAACCACTGAAAATTTTTGATTAAGATAGTAATATGATGACACTGGGACACAGGTTAGCTTGGAGGGCAGGGACATTGGTACCAGGGGTGTGAGGCCTGAGCTAGAATTGTGGGGGGTAGGATAAGGAGAGGAAGGAGTGAGAAAGAGATTGTGAGGGAAAAATAGAATTTGGTGAGGATTGGACATGGACTATGAAGGAGAATGATGCGTCAAGTATGACTGGCATTTTAAGCCTTGGTGTCTGAGACATTGACTGAGATAAGTAAGTTAGGAAGGGTTCCTCTTTTTTTTTAGGGGAATATGACGATGAGTTTAATTTGAGATGTATTGGATTTATAGTGGCAATGAAACATCCAAGTGAAAGCTGTTTGGGTTGTTGGAGATGGTAGCCTAAAGCTGGAGTGGGCGTGGGGGTCAGTGAGATAGAAGATTTAGTTGTGCAGTTCATTGATACAGATGTGTTAGCCAAGGGAATGAGTAAGCTCTCTGAGGACCAGACATCAGGGAAAGAGCAGAAGGCCAGAGATGGTGTTACTGAGAAACCTGACCACTAGCTCTTCCCCAGTCGTCTTAATTAGGCCATCTTAACTGAGTCCCTCCTTCTCCTTTCCCTGGCCCCTTTTCTTTTCCTCCCCTATACTGCACGCCCATATCACATATCT